CCCCCCCCCCCCCCCTTCATCGCCCGTTTTTCACCAATCAGCATTCGGTGTCAAAGCGTTGTCCGTACTAGGCTAATGCCTACCGCATACTGGACGCGATGAGCGATCAGCGACATCCAATAAGAGTTTTGCTTTGCATCATGTGAAAAAAAGCAGAGCTTTTATTGGATACCGCTCGTCGTTCATCGCTCATCGCGTCCAGTGTGCAGTAGGCATGATTCTACTGTATAAGAAAATGGCGCTGAATCATGTAATTTAGCCAGCCAATCAGACCATTGCCTCACCTGTCGCCTCTCTGATAGACCTAGGCCTCTATCCGCGACAAATTGTTTTGGCGAACAGATCTTTTCAGTGAATTAGTCGTGTGAACTAGTTATTAAAGTATACGCATCAATACGTGTCTGTGAGATGGAGTTTGTGCCGAAAACAAAAAAAATTTCTTAAGGCAATGCTAAAGCCTCCTGTTTTACCACATTTCCATTCGGTGAAAAATCTCTGTATTGGATGTACGGATTGCAAAAGTATTATTACTTAAAGTACGTACAAGCAACACCTCAGCTGCACTGGATTTCATGAGAAAAAAGTTTAAAATTCGTTAAAAATTCACTTTTGGTTCATACAGCTGTCACCTCAGATATATGTTTGCTTGACACAAGAATTTTAGAGTCTATATCTTGAAAATAAGCGTGTGCAGCTGAGGTCACATTATTGAAACAAACGATACCGAGTTTATAGAACTAAGATTGAAAGTCTAGAAAATAAATATGTCCACCGAATAGAAAATACATGTATACAGGTGCTTTGTGAAGACTGGGACTGTCAACACAGCCGAAATTCCGTATAGCAATAGTTGCGCGGTCTTGCGATAGATGGTGCTGGCATATGTTAGATAAGAACAGCATATGCGTTTGAGTAAGACAGAATGATATATATTATATAATATAATGTAAAAACTAAATCAAAGATGTCACCACTATTATCGAATTTGAAATTTAAAAAAGTCTGTACTATCGACCTTGATCGAGTTGAGTAATCGGTTTAGCATCCCCTTAAGATTTCACTTTTGAAATTTTTTGTCGTCTGTCTCGGCATAAATTCCACTTCACAAACACGTATTAATGCGTATACTTTAATCCTGGGAAAGGATTTTCGAATCTGTAAAAGAGGAAAAAGTAATTGTTATAGAAAAATTATGATTTAATCGGTAATACAGATGATTTTAAGATCCTCTTAAGGACCTCGGCACAAAGATAGTCGTAAGTGAGTCCTGAAACGTGAGTCATAGTCATAGGTCAATGCACAATGTTTTGTCAATCTACAACTACTACGACTTACGTTCTACAAATCAGTTATGATCGCTTTGTGTTTAGGCCCTAACTCGAAATTAAGTCGTAATCGGGGATATGAAAAATTATATTCTAAATTTATTAGAAAAATGTTGGAATCAAAATTTGAAGGATCACAATCGAATGATTTTAGCATACTTTGCATATGTAAATGTTATCTTGGAGGAATTTTTACATAAAATTTTAACTTTTTTACTTTGAAACAAATTTTATATAAAAAATAGAAGGCAAGAAATTAAGGATAGATTTCTTTATTTAAATTGTAAAGTAATAATATCAACTTGAACCGTAACAAATCAGTTAAATTGTATTTATTAAAACATGGAGTTTATAGGAATATGAGCGACGTAGCCATGTATATAGTTATAGCGTTTATTTAAAAGAAATGTTAGCTCTAAACTTCAATCCATGTAAAAAAGTTACTTTTAATATTATAATTCACAATCATTTATTTACAATCATATTCTGTTATACAAATTCTCTGCTTTAAAACACAAATTCTCTGCTTTGAAAACAAAATCTCTGCTTTAAAAATACAAATTTTCTGTTTTAAAACAGAAATTCTATGCTCTAGGGACTAAAATTATACAATAATGTGTTTTTAAAGCAGAGAATTTATATTTTTAAAGCAGAGAATTTGTGATTATAAAACAGGGAATTTGTTTTTGAAGCAGAGAATTTGTGTTTATAAAGCAGAGAATTTGTGAAATTAAAGCAGAAAATATTTATTCTAATCTCACTTACATGTTCTCATGTCCCTCTAAGTTTATGCCATCGATGTGACAGATATTCTAACCTGAATAGTTGTCAAGTTGAACGATTTTAATCTCGGTTCGCGGGGCAGAGCGACACGTTTTTTTCTGCCAGATTCTTTCGTTTCATGCAGAAATAGGCGTCGAATAAGCCCAACTTTATTGATTTCTGAGCTGCGGAAGTAAAACTGATAATTACCTAGTTCTGATTCATATCGCAAAGTGATTCTTACAATTTTGTACAAGAATCAAAATGAAAGTCTAATTTCTTTGAAAAGGAAATGACAGACATTTATGTCACACAGCAAACATTAATAGAATAAATTAAGTACTATACAAACACTACTTGCTCCTATAACCTTGTTTTTGTCACAATTGAGATACTTACACGATAGGTAAAGGCAATAATCTCGTGTCTATTAAAAATCCAAGCTAATAAGCGCTACTATATCATTACGAAGCCAGTGTTTGCAAAAAACTGCCGCTGCCGCGACTCTGTTTCTACAATGTCGTAATTTAAATCGATTGAATGATAAACGGTACGTCTGCCATATTGTTACACATGGACGGAATCCATACATAGGCATTGCTCAAGATTATAGCCTTACAAGATAGACGGAGCATACGTGCGAGAGAAGCTGAAAACACGATAGAAAGAGAAAGAAACAGTCGCGGAGTGGTTCTTTTCTTTTCTAGTAGTGAATTGATTGGTCGCCGCGGTAGGCCGGGAAGTGGCCGAGAGCAATAAAAGGCCTGTTCTTTTTGGCTGAACTTTTGCACCGATTCATCTTTCTTCCTCTTCTTTCCTCCTGAAGAGATAAGGAAGAAAGATGAACTGGTGCAAAAGTTCAGCCAAAAAGAACCTTATGTCTTCGTTCAAGACCGCCTTAAGTATGGACTTAAGAAGTAACGAACCAATCAGAGGGCTGCATTAGCGTTTTAAGACATTACTTAAGTTCGGATCTACAATAGGGTTTTAAGCCTTAAGTCATAAGAAATGGGCGAATCACAGTCGCTTAAGGGTCCTCTACACTACATAGAAGTTATAGACGGTCGTGGAGTCTTAAGTCGTAGGAAACTGACCAATTCCAATCGAGTATTCTCCTTATATTTGATTGTGATTGGTTGATTTCCTACGACTTAAGACTCCACGACCGTCTTCGACTTCTATGTAGAGGACTCTTTATTCTTCTCGGATTCGACTGTAATTGGTCAATTTCTTACGACTTAATGCGGGGTCTACAATAGAAGTCTATCTACAATAGAAAAATTAACCAATCACAGTAGAATATGAGAAGAATAATCGACTATGATTGGTGAATTTTCTACGACTTAAGACTCTACGACTGCTACGACTTCTATTGTAGACCTCGCTTAAGGCTTAAACCTATTGTAGATTTGGGGGGTTACGCTGCATCAATAGCAGCGAGCGCTTACTCACAACAGTTAAGTTTGCTGAACACAACCTATGATAACCTTCAATGTATGTTTTGAATTTATTGACTGTTATTGTTTAATTTGTTGTAATTTTTAATTACTTAATGCGTTCATCAATCTTTCATATTAATTTTACAGTACTTTGATTAATCGTTTAGGCGGTATTCTACCAAGTACTAAGGTGTTTTATTAATTTTACTCATGGTTCTTTTCTCATTTTTTTTTTATTATCTTCTCCAACTACTTCTTCGCGACATGGATACTTTCGTATAATCTTAATAATTTTTTGGCTTACCGTATTGCGAGATAATTAATTTGTTAATTTAGTGATACACTGAAGAGGATTAAAAACGAGAGCCGAAATGTTCGTTTAGAATTACTAAAGTACAAAAAAATTGTTATACATACCGGTCAACCAGTGTTGGTTCTGATTGACTTAAATCTCTCGACAATATTTTCTTTAAAGGCGATAGCTGAAAAAAACATAAACTTTTTTCATTTCTTAAACTTGTGTTTCAATCACAAATTGTTTCAGATACTATTCACCTGGTTATCCAGATAGCCTTCTAGAAGCTGTAGAGCAATACCAGCCGAAACATCTTTTCGTTTTCCATCATAAATCGTCGTCTGAGAATACAGAGGCCAGCTTGTAATAACAATGAGAGATAATTATAAATTAGAATTGTTTCTGTCTTTATTATATTCTGCTTGCATAATAATATAAGAAATATTTATGAATATGTTTTATAGTTAAAAAAATCTTTCACTCTCATCACACACATATAATAGTTTAATAAATTTTAAATCTACATTATCTAATAATTTTATCATCTAGATAATTTTAACTATGTGATTTAATAACACAGGCATTCTTCTTTATGAAAAAGGTAATAGAGTGTTACATTCAAAGGAGTGTTACATTCCAGGAATCTTTACTTTGCTGGAATCATGGAAGGACATTTCAGAAATCGTAACAATGGATCAATGGCTGCATTCAGTAGAGAAAATTAATCAGTTATTAGGGTGCCGTCCCCTGACGCGTATCACCATACGCGCGTAATTGCGTATCGCCAATCACAGAATCATTCTCTTAGATCTGCTTGCAAAATTTGCAAATAGATTTAAAAGAATGATTCTGTGATTGGCGATATGCGAATAAGCTTACGTGCGATCCGCTGCATGGGACATGGACCTTAGGGCTGCCGCACACAAAATTCCATAAGATTAAGGGTGCCGTCACATGCGGCGTAACCTGCGTAAGCGTAACCTGCGTATTCTAGGGCGTCGTCTACAATACACGGAGTTAGAAGTAAGAGTAAGAAATTGACCAATCACAGTCGATTATTCTTCTCACATTCGACTGTGATTGGTCAA